GCTTCTCATGCTAAATGATTGTTAAAATGGAAACCTAGATTGCCGCTTGTCGGATAAGGACCGACTTAGGCACCACCAGACTCGTTTGTTGCAAGTGGTTAGAAATACAGTAGGTGAGTAGGAACATGAACCACAGCAGCTGGGAGTGAATGTGGGATGCAAGGTACATTTGAATCCCTTGTGCTAGCAGAGCCAGACTGTTTCAGACACAACTTTACCGGGGCTCTTTTGACTGAAAGCATGACAGGCTGACTGCTAGAGGCTGTCTGTTCTCTCCATTCAAAACCATTCAAGTGTCTGTCCACATCTTGAAAGACAATTTAAAATAAAAGCTTCTCCCTTTTTACCCAGCAGTTACGTGATTGCCCAGTATGACTTTTAGGAGATCTCTCTCCTCTCCCCTCAGTGATGTAAGCCAGCATAGCTGCTATAATGATCCTACAGTAGCTACGAGAGCACTGTGTTCTTGCAATGCTGGTCGCTGGTGGTGCCCGTTTGATTTTCAGTACATTGATGTCTCAGTGCAGCAGGGAGGAGGAAAGTTTGCTGACTGGAACTCTCCAGCAAAGGAAAGCAAAGCCCTGTGCATAGACTACTGTAAAACAAACCAGGAATAAAGTTAAGCTGAGAAACTGCTTTCTTGCTACTTCTGTATTAGAGATTTGAACAGACCCTTTAAAAGTTTCCCAGTGATGGAATGCATCAACTTTCAGACAGACACTTCTGCTACAGATTTTGTATCTCTTTGGGACTATTTGTGATTTCTGATTTGGATACTTAGAAAATAAAATGCAGGATCTTGCATGCCGGTGAAATGCATGAGCCTTCACCACGAGATGAAACATCCAACAGCTAACCAAGACATCCTCTGGTCTAGCTTTAGTTGTTACAGTGTACCAAGAGGAAACCGTCATCCTTTCCAAGCCCTCCTATTAGGAATGACAACACCCCCCAGAGTCATTAATGATATGCATCTAACAGAGGAAACCCAGGAGCTTTTGAATTACTGTCGTTCACACAAATTTTGCACTTAAAGTCAGACATTTTAAAAAACACACACAAACACAAACACTGCACGAGTCAAGCTTTCTCTTACATCCTTATCTCCCAACTCCTTCCTCTCTTCTCTCTTGTCCAGCAAGGCACTAGGAAATGGTTCAAGTTTAAGCATTTGCTGTACATTTACATTTAAAAAGGCACATCTTTATTTTAATGACGCTGTATTCCCCCTTCAGTAAGGCCCACACATTCTTCTATTATGGTCTGGAAAAGAAAGTTAATTTCCCAGGCATGAAAAAAGACATTTTGCACACATAAGAGCCCCAAACCTATTACTCTGTTTGTAGGCCTTAGAGATTAGCACCAGTATAAATCAACAAGAGCTTCAAGAGCAAATCAAAGTATTATTATGCGACATAACACACATCCAGGGATCCCCCTGTTGTCTGGGATTCTGATACTTAAAAGCAGCAGAATTTATGCAGCCTTGGAGAGAAGGGTTGTTTGAATATTTTTGGGGAAAAAATATGAAAACATTTATTTTGCATTAGATAATCACTGGTATTTAATCTCCAGTCTTGACTTGCATGCAGATGTGCAGATTTGCTTATGTATTCATGCTTTAGCAATTTTGCTTACAAATAACCAAAAGTAATTGGAATAATTAACCAGATTGCCCAGCAAAGGCTCAATTAAAGATGTAGATGATGAAATACAGCTTCTATTTCTCAATCAGTGGATGGTTGGCTATATTAAGTCTTCTCATTAGTCAGCAAAGCCTCTAGGGTATTGAAAAGTATAATTGATGTAAATAAATTAATAGCTCAAAGCCCAGTGAGCCAGTCAGAAGCGTACAGAATTTGTGGGGCACTTACCACACTCAGATCCCAAACCTTCAGAAAACAGATCAGATCAACCATACTGAGAAGGACCCAGTAGGACCACTCACACTAAAGCTCCAATTTCCAGGTACTGGTTGTCAAACAGGAATTGCCTCAAAAGTTACCTAATCTTTTGGTGCATACTGCTATGAGCTGTCCTTTCTCTCCAAATTAAGATCATTAAGTGGTAAAAGACCTGTTCATTACTGCAGTTCTCTCTGAAGCAAGCATCCAGCAAGCCAAGCAGCTAGGACTCTCTTCACAAGGTGAGCCCAAGTACAAAGCAAGCCATGCATTTTAGAAACAGAAGCTAATCCTCTCATTAGAAAACTAAGACACACAAAGTTGCAAGCTGCAAGCAGAATGACCTACAGTCCATTTATATCATTTGCCGATCGTGTCCCAATTATAAAAAACTAGCACTGTTCATGGACAAACAGCTTCTTGTTCCACAGGTATTAAAACATTCATAAAGACATCTAGTCAGGCCATCTAGCGATCCACAGTCAGCACTACCAGACTAATGAGAGCATTAATAACTTAAGGAAAGCAACAGTCGGACACAAAGCACTGGAAAGTGGCTCTGTCTCCCATAGAAATGAAAAGGGATCCCCATGACAGACATATTGTAGTTACTGAGAACATAAGATATCAACTCTGTTTGACACTGGTCTCACTTCCATAGCAATACTGCTGCAAAACTGTCACAAGGAAAGCCTAGAGCTTTTTTTCTTTCTTCACTCCCAAAATGTTAGACACCAACACATTTGGCAAGCCCGGTCCCAGCTGCAGTGCAGTCCCCATGTTTCCCTTGCTTTGTGACTGCATGGGCCAGGTAAGTTGGCAGAACAGGTCAGACATGGCCTCAGCTGTGAGGACGAGAGGTGGAAATGATTTTGAGCCTCATAGTCAACACATCAGACTTGAGAGCTTGAGAGGCAGCTAGTTTTGTCCTAGTCTGCTCCCAGTTGACAGACACAGCACTACATGGCCTCAAAGACATCTGAAACATGGGCAATGATCCCACAATTGGCAACATTAGAAAGGGCTTCTTACTTCTGGAGCTCTGCAGAGGGAGCCAGCCTGCTTGTTTCCTGACACTAGGCAAAAATCTCCTTGCCTTCACAGGAGAGAAAGATACCCCACAGCAGAGCTCCCCTGCCCCTCCAAGGAGGGGAAGTCCATTAACCGTGCTTATCAAGAGTCACAGAGGGGTGCCCTACTCCTACCCTGAGTGTTCCAGCCTTTAACTCTCAGAGCTGGCTGCACTCCTCAGCTGGACAAACTGCAGAGCTGAGCAATCATAGAATCACAGAATCGTTTAGGTTGGAAAAGACCTTTAAGATCATCAAGTCCAACTGTTAACCTAGCACTGCCAAGACCACCACTAAACCATGTCCCTGAGCACCACATCTACACATCTTTTAAATACCTCCAGGGATGGTGACTCAACCACTTCCCTGGGCAGCCTGTTCCAATGCTTGACCACCCTTTCAG